GCTTCGCCGCAGATTTTCTTGGGTGGAGCCGCAGAGGTCGACTTGGTCCCAAATTCTGGTTCTTCACGATGTTACAGCTGTTCCTGTCTCAGTTCTCCTTTTCTTCTGGTTTTGATGGATGTGGTTTGTTATTTAGTCATGGGTTTTCAACAAATCGATGAAACAAACACACCCCCCCCCCCCCCCCCCACACAAGTGAACACACACTGGAACCTCTCACTTTCTCCCTCCTCTCTTCCTTCCTCTTTGTCCTTCCTCTTCCTTCCCACCCCTTCTTCCCTTCTTACTCCCCTCCCCTCTCTCCTGTCTTCCTCCCTCCCTCCCTTCCCATTCCTTTAAAAGGTGAACAGTGACTGAGGTTGTCCTCTGACCTCCACATACTCAACTGCACCTGTGTATACAAATAGCGTGCGCGCGCGCGCGCGCGCGCGCACACACACACACACACACACACACACACACACACACACACACATTAGTATTTCAGGTCTCAAATCGAAGCTATGTTTTGGGATGCTGTCAATGCTTTAAGATTAGATTATGAGGACTGGGACTGTATGCAAAACTACTGAAGGCTACACTTACCAGTGTGGCAGTGGACTTAGGGATGTGGCACCCAAGAAATATAATGACACACAAGTGAGATGGCAGTTCCCTTATCTAATAGAACACACCCAAGAACTGTGACTCGCTAATGGATAGAAAAGAAAAACAGTATGGATTCCAGATCGCCTTTTACCGGTTTATTGTCTTGGGATGCCATAGAGAGTAGAGGGCAGGGGACTTGTGGGAGTAAGTGGGGAAAACAGCCAGTGATACACTAAATTTTAGTTCAGTATGCAATATAAACAGGCAGGTGGTAGTGGTGCACATGTTTAATCCCAGCATTCGGGATGCAGAGGCAGGCATATTTCTGTGAGTTCGAGGCCAGCCTGGTCTATAGAGCAAGTTCCAGGAACTTGCTGGGATTAAGGGCGTGCACCACCATCGCCCGGTCCCTCCCTTCCTCCCTCCCTCTCTCTCTCCCTCCCTTCTTCCTTCCTTCCTTCCTTCCTTCCTTTTCTTTCTTCTTTTTGTTTTTTGAGACAGGTTTTCTCTGTGTAGCCCTAACTGTCCTGGCACTAGTTCTGTAGACCAGGCCTGCCTCTGCTTTCCTAGTGCTGTGATTAAAGGCATGTGCCACCACTACCCCGATACTTTTTTCTTTATAAAACCTTTTGGGGCCTGCAAGAAGGCTCAGTGGGTGAAGGTGCTTGCCTGAATTCTATCCCCAGGATGCACTCATAAGTTGACCTCTGTGCCTAAACCCCTATAAATAAATAAATGTTAAGATTAATTAATAAATAATAAGTGAGATTGCTCAGCAGTTAGAGGTTCTTGCACACAGCCCGACAACCTGAGTTTTGACTCCTGGATTCTACAAGTTGGTAGAAGAGAACCATGCCCACTGGTTTTCCTCTGACCTCCACCAGACACTTGAACTAACTCTATCCCTCCTTCTCTCTCTCTTTCTTTAAATAAATAAATAAATAAAGCTTAAAAATTGTGAGTAGTTTTGTATATGTGGGGCATACTGACAGGGTTATGATTTCAATTTGCTATTCCCATGTGGCTCATCAGTGGCAGTGTAGTTGAATTCCACTCCTGGACCATTGCCAATGCTTCTGCAAGGTTTTAAAATTGTCAGTATTCTCAGTAAAGGTTAAGGAATGTCAAGTGACTCCTACGCACTGTGAGCATTTGGGGTATCTTTCTTCTTTTTTTTAGACATCTTTTTTTCCCCTTTAAAAAGTAAAGGAGGGATTTTCTGGTAGGTTTGATTTAATGTGTCATCTTTATTAATAGAATAAAAGTAGGGCTGGTGAGACTTTTCAGAGGGTAAAGATTCTTGCTGCTCAGCCTGACAACCTGAATTCAATCCTGAGAGCCATGTGATTGGAGGGACCTCCTGTTGGCAAGTTGTCTTCAGCATGTACTTTGTGGCATGCATGTGTACCCCAACATGTGTTTGAACAGAAAAAGATGTAAAAATTAATAAAATAGAAAAGTAGTATCAAAACTTAAATTGAATATATCCACCCAAAGCACCAAATTACTTTTAAAATTTTGTTATTATTATTATTATTATTATTATTATTATTATTATTATTGTTTGTTGTTGTTATTGTTTTTACTGGGTTTCTCTCTGTAGCCCTGGCTATCCTGGAGCTCACTTTGTAGACCAGGCTGGCCTGGATCTCACAAAGATCCACCTGCATCTGCCTCCCAAGTGCTGGGATTAAAGGCGTGTGCCACCATGTATGAGTGTTTCGTCTGCATGCTTGTAAGTGCACTGTGGGCATGTAGTACCATCAGAGCCAGAAGAGTACAACAGATCCCCCTGGGACTGGAGTTGTGAGCTGCTATATGGTGCTAGGAAATGAATCCAAGTCCTCTGAAACAGCAGCAAGTGGTTTTAACTGTTTAAGCATCTTTCCATTCCTCCTCCTCCCCCTTTATCACCATCATAGCCGAAAGGGCTACTCATTGGCTGTTTTCTGTGTTTTAGGCATATGTAAACAGCCAGGATTGCTACCAGGTTGGAGATTACTTTGCACTGTTCCCTTAAGATCATTCTTTCTTTTGTGAATCTTGGTTTTTAAGTTCTTCAAATATATTTGTCACCTCACTCTCTCTTTTGAAATGATTTCTCTTTTAAATATCAAGAGGAGGCTGTCATCCCCAATCCCAATATAGCCCTGGTTGTCCTGGAACTTAGGATACCTGCTTCTGCCTCCTGAAAGCTGGGGGTAAATGTGTGTGTCACTATGCCCAACAGATGTCTTATAGTTTCAGGAATTGCTACATTTTTTTCCTGCATGCTAACATTATGTATTTTTTTTAATTTATGACTGTGATCTTTTAAAGCCCAACCCAAATATCTCTCTTTTTTTCCAACCCCACTCCAAGCGTTTTTCATCAGAGAAAGCTTCTGTAACCCCTTTGTGATTGTCTTAATTGTCAACTGATAAAATCTGGAGAGTCCCAAAGAGGGTAGTCTAGATTAGGTTGGCCCACAGACTCTTCTGTGAAGGATTATCTTTGATTGTATTAATTGAGGTGGGAAGAATCACTCACTGTAGGTAGTACCATTCCCCAGCCAAGGATTTTTTTTTTTTGTTTTTTGAGACAGGGTTTCTCTGTGTAGCTTTGGAGCCTATCCTGGCACTTGCTCTGGAGACCAGGCTGGCCTCAAACTCACAGAGATCCGCCTGCCTCTCCAAGGACTTTAAAAAAATATTTTATTTATTTATTTTTGTTTTGTTTTTCAAGACAGGGTTTCTCTGTGGCTTTGGAGGCTGTCCTGGAACTAGCTCTTGTAGACCAGGCTGGTCTCGAACTCACAGAGATCCACCCGCCTCTGCCTCCCGAGTGCTGGGATTAAAGGCATGCACCACCAATGTTCTGCTTATTTATTTATTATGTATACAGTGTTCTGCCTGCATGTATCCTTTCAAGCCAGAAGAGAGCACCAGGTCTCATTACAGATGGTTGAGAGGTTGCTGGGAATTGAACTCAGGTCCTCTGGAAGAACAGTCAGTGCTCTTCACCTCTGAGCCATCTCTCCAGCTATAGCCAGGGATTTTGGAACTGTATACGAGTGGAGAAAGTAGGGGCTGGAAAGATGACTCAGAGGTTAAGAGCAATGACTGCTCTTGCAGAGGACCTGGATTCAACTTCTGGTATACACATGGTGTCTCATAACCATTTGTAACTCCAGTTCCAGAGCACTCAATGTCTTCTTCTGGTCTCTATGGGAACCAGGCATACAGGTGATATGTAGGCCTACAGGCATGCATGCAAGCAAAATACACATAAACACAAAATTTAAAAATTAAAAAAAAGAGTAGAGAACACTGTCAACTGAGCACCAGCAAGTGTGTGAGTATTTATTGTCTCTCTGCTCTTAAGAGTGGAAGTGACTAGCTGCTTCTAAGGTGCTGCTTCTTTGACTTCCCTGCTAAACTGTGGTCCACAATTGTGAGCTAAACTAAACCTTCCCCCATGTCGCTCTTGTCAGGGTATTTTATCACAGTAATAGGAAACAAAACTAAGACACCCTCAGTTTTGGTTCATTCCTTTATTCCATACTGTCATAAGTTGTGCTTTTTAGAATGCCTATTTTATTTCTAATTATATTTTTACTGAGATGGTTATGGGATTAGTTTTTCATATAAGATAACAATCGCTTTGTCACCTCACTTTTGTTGTACTACATTTGATCTCTAGCACATACAGAGTGCCTGAAAAGTAGTACATTCTCAATATTGTTAAAGAATGGATGACATTCTCTGGGCCTTCTAAGTAAACGCCGTTAGCTTGAATTTGAAAGCTCCTTACCTTGATTCTGGAGGTGAGTCTACTTTGGAGGTAATTCATGTGACTCCAATATGTGTGGTACAGGGTGCTGTTTAATATCTTGGCTTGAGTCAACAGGTAGAACTATGGAGAAGAAAAGCCAGCCATTATTGTTAACTGCTATTAATTGCCTCTGGTTGCTTTGAGTGGAGTATCATTCACTTCAAGGTTATGTATTGCTTACACAATGGCTAGGAAAGCTGGAAGATCAAGTT